CTGCATTTAGTTTAATCACCAGATGGTGCTAAATCACCACCAGATGGTGCTAAATCACACACGCTGTACCTTTGCACAGTAACAACACAAATCTCTGCATTTTGGTGGTGTCCTCAGTGAACCTCTTGGCCTCATCAGTTTTCATGACCTACAATCCCACCCAAAACCAATCAGCCTTTTGACGACATCATAGTGCACCGCTGCTGCTGCTGCTGCTGATGCTAACGACTGATTCTGCCAGCTCTTCATTTCAACCTTTGTTTTAAATATAGTCGTCCTGGTGTCTCAGGAGTCTAGAGGGTGGTCAGGTGGTCAGGTGATTGGGAACAGAGCACGAGGCCTTCAGGGACTGAGTATCTGACCACACTGGCCTTCACCTCAGATAAGAGACTTAACAAAAATGTGGACGAGGGCATCTGTAGCCATGGCGACCAGGTGTGCCACTTTGTGTCTGCACAACATTTGGATGTTTTCACTGGTTTTCCTTGAAACTGAGACGTCGTCTGTCATTCTTATATGTTGACTTTTCAAAGTCTGTAGTGACGGACTGTCACAGGACAGTATTAGAAAGTTAGTATAGTATAGCTAGTTAGTTAGTATAACCACCCGCTTGTACCCTGCTAAGGCTCCAGTGTGTCTCCTTCTTTGGTCTTTATTGACACATCTGAACTTTGTGAGTTGCATTACTGCCACCTACTGGGTTGGTGTTAAATATAATAATAATAATAATAAATATGCCTTGATTACTGTTAAAAAGTGGGAAACAAAGTAAATACAGAGGGAAGACAGTTTTTAAATGATACCATGGAGTACTTGGTGAGAGAATCCTGCTACAGTAGCTTTAAGAAAAACCTTTCGAAATCAGCACATAAAAAAAAACCAATTCCCTGTAACTAACCATATCAGCCTGAGTCACAGACAGTGTGATGTCAGTGAACTAACCATATCAGCCTGAGTCACAGATCATTTCTGTGACAGTGGGATGTCTTAATTCCCGTTAATGCTGCGCAATGCCACGGTTTTGTCAGCGGTTTTGTCAGTTTTGACCTTGGCAACATTTCTGCTGCAGCTCAGACAGCTGAGCAGAGAATAACAGCACACACTTGGTACCGAGCCGACCCCCAGCCTCAACCTAAACATGTGTGTCAAGCAGGAGAACGGCAGACTTACCCTGATAACCCCACCTGGACCACGCTCCTTCTGTTGAGCTGCACCTCTGTTTGTTCCTGTCCTTCAGGAACTGAAGTCGTTTTTTCCTCGTGTCTCATGTGCCTGCAGAATTCCACACTGCATCCCAGAGGGTGGAGACTGCAGGAGTGGTGGGGGGAGAAGGGAGCCGTTCGGGGGGAAAGGAGGGTCCATGACTGGCCCAAACACTGACAAACAGCAGGTCAGCTGATGACTTTGTACTCTGACAATGTAATCCATTCAAACATGGCCAGAGTCCAGGGCTCAGTGACAGGTCAAAGCCAGGAGGGTTTATTTTTTACACAGCACACTTGTGGTTAGCAGCCCTTAAAGGGGTCATGTTTGTGAAAGTATGGAACATCAGTTGGTGTCAACGACCACGGCAGACTGAGGTGGAGGAAGAACACCACCACAGTCTCCAGTTCCCTCCTGAAGTACATCCTGAGCTCAACTCCGTCTTCCCTCGTGTCGTGGAGCTGCGCGGACGCCCAAACAGTCGGATCGTTTCATTTGCACCAATTTGTTTTCTATTTCTATCCATGTGGACTTGACTGGATGTTCACTTTCTCCTGCTATTTGAGTGTTGGTTCCGACACACGTTGGTTTCAACAGTTTATTTCTTTCCCTGGTGTTGCACAGAGTTCTTCATCATCCCCTTGTTTGACCTTTTGGTCTTGTTTCACTTGTGTATTTTTAATTATCTGGTTTCACTTCCTTAAATTTAATAAATGTTTTTGTTAACTTTTTTATTCTGGGATTCACGGATTGGTGAAATTGTGAAAACAAGTTTCATAATAGTGTCCTGCCCTGATTTCCCAAGCAGTTTGACTAATTCCAGATGTTTCCATCTCTTCACTTAACCCACCCACCCACATCCTTCTAGTCAGGGCTTCTTTCTCTACGTTTTCTCCGTGGCCCATCTTCCTCTCTGAATGACCTCCATTCACACCTAGGTGTGTGTTTAAATTTCCACTCACTACTTAGAATTTGGCTCTGCAGCAGAATCCAGTGGGGAGGGAGAGGGGGGGCCTAGTTGTACAACTTGTGGGTGTAGTGGAATTCCTAATCACAGCTCCAGAGACATTTTTCACCACAGCTTGTATGTGAAAAATGTCACATTTCTGACTCGCCAACGTTCTTTTATGACCTTTCAGACACTGAGGCTGAAAATCCACCCGAATATGAAGAAGAAACTCTGAATATGAACGTCGTGATTTTTCAGACTCTCATCTGTTTGGCTTTGGGACTGAATCCCCGTTCAGTCCCAACGGGGACTCGTGATTCAACACTGGCGAACTCTTGTGTTATTCCTGGCCCATCTTGGGGCATTCCAATTTGTTAACCTTACTTTTACTCAAATTATGTTGGTTTTGTTGTTGCTATTTTTATGGCTTTTATCCATTTTTGGCCTGAAGTTTGAGCTTTTAAGTTTCCGGGCTAACTTGCATAAATCTGCAATGATCTGGCTAAGATTGAAAAGGAGCAATAAAAATATAGTTTACAACTATCCTTGTTTATCCTCTTTTTTGTGCCGAGGTTCTGAGACTGTGAACGACTAGCTCCTACAGTGCCATCTACTGGTAACATAGTCTCAATGTATTCAGGATCTACCAGCAGATTACTGGTTTACTGATAGATCATAAGCAATTAAAATAAAAATAAAAAACATTTTTTAATATTTAATCTCTAGAACTAGATTAGCAACAATAGAATTACTGAATCATATTATCCCGTACAGCTATTTAATCAACATGTAATGTATATATAAAGTATATTCACCTCATATGGCTAAATATATATTAAATATTATCAATGTAGGTAGATCACTTTGGTCTGGTCCATTGAAAAGCAGCTCCCAAGTCAACAAAGTGTGGACGCCCCCTGCTGTAGATTAGTGTAGGAACAAAGAACCGTTGTGCAAAATCTGGACTGTAAACTACTGTGTTTTTCATCATCATTTCTATTAACTATTCTTTTGAACAAAATCTCTGATATATTTTCTCTATTTTTACAACAATAAATAACACAAAAGGGAAAATAAACATTCGTTTTTAACAGCCTATGGTTTTCTCCGGACTAAAATGTTACAGAAGTGACGTAGTCTGCCCTCTGCTGGACAACGTTGTGAAATGTCTCTAACACACCGATTAGCCTACATGCTAACGGACGGCTCTGTTGTGGCGTAGAATGACGTCAGAAGTGCGCGACGGTGATGGCCATGGACGGGTCAATGAAGAAACCTCGCTGTTTTTAATGGTCCTTTATCCCCTTGAATCATTTCATCAGAAGGATAGAAAAGCACGTTATTGTCTGATAGTTTATAACATGTAATATCTCCGTGGATTCCTCGAACAATGTCTTTTTTTCCCTGTAAACAACATATCGTGTGCATTCTTAGGCGTTTCTTGTTGTGATGTGTATCGTTAAACAGTAGACGACCAAACCTTTCAGCTCATCGTGTAAGAAAGAATGTCTATTTGGAACGTTGGTAAAAACATGTCACCCCATAACCTACCGAGCTTGTCCCTCCAGCTTTTAGCTGATTTTGTTCTTGCCTCGAGGCAATTCCGAAGATTCTGTAAAAAACGGGGGTAACAAAAGTACAAAATCTGGAGAAATGACCAAACATTAACTCTGTTCAGTTTGTCTTTTACATCTAATAGTAGTTGTTTTCTTAGAGGATCATAATTCAACTGTGAATCTATATTTTGGTAGCGTTGATAACAGCCTACAGTAGCAGGTGGGAATGACTCCAAAGATCGTATTAGGAACAAGATGAATACCCTGCTCTTTACTTCCGGGAGCACACTAACTTAACGGTATTGTTTAACATTTAGAGTAAGACCGATGGCGTATATTGATTTTTCCAGTTGACTGACGTTTAAATGTGCTATTGATGATGTATTTCAAATTTATTCTCTTACTTTTACTGCTGTAATGTGAGTTAAGTGACTGTTTTATAAGACAGCGCTGTGTCGCACAGTGGCCTGGAGCAAGCGCCTTTTATAACGGACATTGAAGTCAGTTTGCAATAGGGGATTTAAGCGGGACGTGTTATAGTTGCTTCCTGCACAAACCCTGAAAAGACCGAGTAGCTACACATTTTTTTCTTCTAAATGTTGTATTAAGTGTGCATGGTATGTTTCAGATTTATTCAAGTGAAAATATAAATGTGAAAATATGAATTTTCCCCACGTTCCAATAGAGAGCGCTGGTACGCGTACCACAGTTTGAGAACCACTGTTCTAGAGTGTAGTGGAGGTTGCCAACCTGGGTTAGAGTACAACTATACACACAGCAGTTTGGATGTTGTTATTCATCACACCACAACATCCTTCACAGTGTCATACATACAACTATGTTGCGTTTCAAACCAGCCTTACAATTGCTATGTTTTTCCACAGCTTCATCCTGCAACTCAGTGTTTATTTAAAAATAAAACAGTGATTTGTTTTTTCCATCTTGAAAAGAATATTACTTCTATTGGCAATGTGTGTCTGTCTGTGCTTGTACTGAGCATGAGGGCAAATGTCTGCCTGTGTTTGGGTGGGCACAATGTTAGAGTTTAAAAACCTCTGCTCTGTCAACAACAGTGTCCAACATGGTTGCCTTTATACAGAAGAAGCCATTCATATGTGAATATAATCGGTTTAATAAAAACAGTAAATGTTACTGCTTATCATAAATGCACTTAAAAAACATAACCAACAATTCATCTCTACTAATATAAACCAAATACAAATTCTGTTTTACCAAAATGTACCCTGACAATCTTTAAAGAGGAATCTTTGTGCGCTGTGACGTCACCTTAGCCGTCTAATGGCAAGCGAACTTCAACGGCTCTTCACGCCTCCTGACAGTCGTCCGTGCGGCAGCAGCGCAGTGTAGAGTGTAGGGCGCACGAGTGAAGTGATCCAGGCAGGGAGCCAGCAGAAATGTCGGAGAGTGGGAGTCAGGAAGTCGCCTTTAGGGCCGCGAACGGCAGCGGCAGCGGCAGCCCGACCAGACGGCCCCAGCGGCCGTCCATCGGTAACAAAGTGACCGTGGTGCTCGGAGCCCAGTGGGGAGACGAGGGAAAAGGGAAAGTTGTGGATCTCTTGGCACAAGACGCAGACATGGTTTGCAGATGTCAGGTTGGTGAAACCTCCCGTTTCCTTTACGACTCCCGCGCCCCCTTATGCTGCATTCACTGCTCAGTAACCAGGAAATCGTGCGGGGTTTTTTTTTGTTTTTTTTTTAAATAAAACCTCCTCCAGCATCGGAGACACCGCGGTGCGTGTGAGAGTTGCTTGACCCGGACAGTGGACGTTAAAGTCCGCCGGGCTCGTCGTCGTAAGCCCGTGTGTAGTGTTTGTTGTTGTTGCTAAAGTCACCTTGAATCCCCGCTATCCGCTCCCAAGCTTCTTCTCACACCTTACACCGCTGACAACCATCTCCTGCTGTCGTTTGCACATGACACATGGACCGTGAAGGCAGCAACAACAGCAGCAGCAGCAGAGATGACCTGATGCATCAGTACTGACACTCACTGTGGTCACCGGGGTTTTCAAACACAACGTAACCCAACATGACAACCAGGGTCCCGGCGTAAACACAGCCGCTCTGTGCTGCAGTGACAACAAATGTCTTTGACATGTTCGTTTTTAGTCCACGGCACTTCCAGTCCTGTCAAACCTGGGACTGTGGTTCAGATCAGTGTGAATGTTTTACATCAGTTTGACACGGACTGGCGAAATAGCTGTTATGTAACTGTTACCAAAAAGTTCGTCAAAGTGGGGAAAGAAAATTAACGTATTAAAAGAAGAACAGCAAGAACAGTAAACACTAGAGAGTTACCAGCGTCTGTAGGGATTTATTAGGATTTTTTTTAAAATTATCTTTACGAGATTTTCACTGAGGTTTTGTTAAACGGGAGTTCCTTAAACGCGTCTCCTCATGGTATCAATATGAATGATTTTCAGGCAGAAAGTCAAGACTAATTCTGTGGTAGAAAAGAAACGAAAACACACAGATAATATTACACAACACATTTTTAAACCATTTAAAATAATTCAGAACAACATGTCACTCCAAACGTTACAGGCGAAGAATAAACGAACTGCAGCATTAAACCATTTCCACTTGTTGTTTGTTTGTCTGTTTTTCATCACTAATAGAGGAGCAGCGGGTGTGGCCATATTTACATTTTAGAAATTTAAATACGAATCCTGTTTTTATGACGTGGATTAGAGCCTCAGTTTCCATGTCGTATAGGATGAATCAGTAATGATGCCCCCTGGAGGTTTGTCGTCCCCCTTGGTCGAATTCACAGTTTACACCAAACATTATGTCAAGCTGTGTTCACTGCACGCACGGACAGAAGGAGACGGCGGGGTGTGTCAGCGGTCACGTTTATCCTGAAGTCTGTAGGTGTTTTAGATGTACCAAAATAAGAACGCTGTAGGAGTGATGCTGAGAATGATATCTGTACTGAACTGTAATGTCTGGACCCTGAACACATCAGCGCGGTGATGCTGAGAATGATATCTGTACTGACTGTGGCTGGACCCTGAACACATCAGCGCACCCAAAAAACAGGTGCATCCACTCACGCTATCAGCTGGACTCACTCGTGGTGTGTGTCCGTGATCACATGGTCACATGGTCCCAGGTCTGTTTGAGCCGGTGTCCGTGGTCTTTTTATAAACCTGCCTTTGACAGCAGTCCTGCCCGGTGTTCCTTACATCCAGGACCCTGGAGATCCTGAAAGCACCAGTTTGGGTTTCAGGCATCAGAGGAAGGAGTTAAAAACAAACTTCAGGGAGTGATCTGGACTAACCACTGGTCATTACTGTGGTATGTCCTGTTAGCTAACGTTAGCTCCTCTGACTTCACACGGACTAACTGTCTGAACTGATGTGTCCGGTCGTTACATGAGATGACACAACATCACAACAATACTACTACTGTGTACTGAGTACTGTGTACTGAGTACTCTCTCAAAAGTGGTTCCATTGGCCTGTTGGAACCTGCAGAAAACTTGAGAGGGAGAGAGAGAGAGAGAGAGAGCAGCTGAGAAACCAGTCCATCAGGTTGTTGTTCCAGGCCTTCACACTGATCTTCAAATGTTGAAATATCCCCTGTGTGTGTGAGAGAGAGAGTGTGTGTGTGTGTGTGTGAGGAAATATTTACTCTGGGTCGTCCTGATATTTCTGTACGTTACACATTGATCTGTTGTTACGCTTTAATAAACAGAGTCAGTCTGTGACAGTGGACCAGGTCCAGTCTATCAGTGTGTGTGTGTTACTGTACTGTACTGTACTGTATTGTACTGTGTGGTACAGATACACATGTGTAGCAAACATATATTCTGTTTGCATGGGATTATATAAGGCCGTGGGTCAAGTTCTGTTTTGGGTGGAGGGGTGGGGGGGGAGTTGAAAGGAATCCATAATGAAAATGTCCAAAAAAGGAGAGACATCTGCCCCCACCCCTCCACCTCCCACCTCCCCTTTCATGTCAGGGTACTCCAGTGTCCAGGAATAACACCACGTGAGCAGAGCTCCTGGTGTTTGGACCTCGTGGTGCAATTTATATCCAGGAGGTAAAGTGGCTCTAACCCACAGGTCACATGACCTCGTCCTCAGGAAATAATCAAGTGAGACGTACGTGACGCCGTTTGATCACCAAAGCGCCGAGCTGAGACACTTGTCTCCTCTGGGTTGTCCCTGGGAGACTGTGGACCAGTTCTCCTGCTGGACCAGAATTTCTGGTTTGAACTCATGACCTGTGTCTCTGATGAGTTTGACGGGTCAACATGGATGGACATGTCCCACAGTCAGTGGACTAAAGACATGGACTGAACCAGCAGTGTACTAGAAACACAGACGCACATATATGTCCGTCTGTGTTTCTGTTACCAGTTCTACCAGTTTCTACTCACAAACCATCTGAGCCCGGTGGAATGTTGTGTCAGATAAACCAGAAAGTTAGAGGATTTATTCTCCTCCTCCTTCTTCTTTGTTCAGTCACAGTCAGCTGCATATTGAAGAACAAAATATTGGTCAGTTGTGATTTGTCATCCACTAGAGGCTGCTGTTTATCACCCAAGAGGCAGCACAGTGCTGCTGTGGTCAGGGGGAGGTCACGGTGAGGTCATAGTAAAGTCAGAGGTACTGACCCAAACGTTCTGTGTTTCGTCCACAGGGTGGAAACAACGCAGGACACACGGTGGTGGTCGACTCGGTGGAGTACGATTTTCACCTCCTGCCCAGCGGCATAATCAACCCCAAGTTCACCGCCTTCATTGGTGAGTACCACACACACACACACACACACATACTGATGCACCCGCGTCTCTCTCACACACCTCTTCATGTTCCTGAGGAACTCTCAGAGATTCTGCTCTGTGCTCCTCTCTGCTACACTGAAAGTTTTCACCTTGACTCAGACTCAGACTCAGACCCAGACTCAGACCCAGACTCAGAGCCAGGCTCGGAGCCAGGCTGCAGGCCTCCACCCCTTCCTCCATCTGCAGTAACTTCATTAGCTAATGGTGTCTGGCTCTGCTGCTGCCTCTACTGCTTCAGAACCTTCCAGATATCGACGTGTCCCACTGTAAGATCGGCCCATGCTTGGTCACGTCTCGGCCCCTCCCTGTGTGATGTATGAGGTGTTAATGTTCCGCCGCAGCCTCACCTTTTCAAACATTTATCATTAATGAGTCAGTCAGTCAGCAGTGAGTCAGCAGATGGCAGTCTTCCCTAGGTGTAAATGTTTTGATTGGAGTTTGATTGATTCAGCTGTGAGTTCTGGAGGGTTGGAGAAAAAAAAACACAGACTACGAATTCTCTCTCTCTCTCTCTCTCTCTTTCCCACACTGAGCATTGAAAATAAAATGATCAATAAAAACAGAAACAGTTCGATCAGACGTCATGTGACCCAGTATAGATCTACACCTGTCTGTTGAAGCTGGTTCTACGTTGGTGGAGAAACCTGGACCCACAGACCAGTCTGAACCGGTTCTGTTCTGATGTTTTCAGGTAACGGCGTGGTGATCCATCTGCCAGGACTGTTTGATGAGGCACAGAGGAACGAACGCAAAGGGAAAAGTGAGTGACACTCACACACACACACACACACATACACACATTCTTGGTGTATGGCCAGGCCAGCAGCACTCAGTGTGTGTGTGTGTGTTCAGGTCTTACAGGCTGGGAGCAGAGGCTGATCATCTCAGACAGAGCCCACATCGGTGAGTATCTGGTTCCATTCTAGTCTGTGTGTGTGTGTGTGTGTGTGTGTGTGAATGTTTGCACAAACGCACATGCAGAACACGTGCGCGCGTCTCCGTGTGCATTTGTTTGTGTGCGCGGTGTGTTGTGTGTCTGTGAGAATGTGTGTGTCTATGTATGTATGTATGTGTGTGTATGTGTGTGTGTGAGTTCTGCCCACTCCGAGGTGTGTGAGAGTGTGTCCCCCCCTCTCTCCCTCCTCCACAGTTTTTGACTTCCACCAAGCGGTTGATGGCATTCAGGAACAGCAGAGACAAGAGCAAGCAGGCAAGAAGTAAGACACTGTGGCTTTAACAGAGGGGCTGCAGCACACACACACACACACACTCACAATCACAATCACAATCACAATCACAATCACAATCAGAGGAAGACAACATGTAAACACAAAGAGGAACTAACTAAAAATGTTCTTGCTGTAAAGTGTTGTTACATCATTTATGGCCCCATCTATCTCTCATGTGTGTGTATGTGTGTATATATATGCGTGTGTATATATATATATGTGTATATATATATATGTATATATATGTATATATGTGTGTATGTGTATATATATATGCGTGTGTATATATATGTGTATATATATGTATATATGTGTATATATATGTATATATGTGTATATATGTGTATATATATGTATATATATGTGTATATA